TTAATTGTAATATTAGTAAAAACTAATTATTAACTAATTTTAAAGCTTAATAATATATTTAAATATTTTTGTAATATACTTTAGATATATGTAAATATATAATTAAAACTTTATAGCTTTAAATAATTTTTTAAATTTTTTAAAAATGTTTAAAAATTAGCTTTTTTTAGCTTTTTATTAGTAAATTTTACTAGTAAATTTTATATTAAAAATTATGTTTAATTACTATTTTTAAGATATTAGTTTAATTTTAGAATTTTAGCATTTATCGTCAGTGGTGATAGTACTACCTCCTATTTCTTTTATCAAATTTAGAGATAGAATACAATTTTAGACCAAGGTTAGAATTAGGTATAAAGGTGCAAACCTTTGTTAGAGTTAGGTTTTTTGAGGGTCTTGAACATTTTTACTTAGTATCTTTGACATATATTAATTAGTAAATTTTTGAGATATAGTATCCCTGCTGATATTGCACTGGTGATAAATAGCAATATTCTTAATTTAATAAACTTTATAATTTAGAATTAAAAGTTTATTTTTAACAACTCTATTTATAACTTTAAATTAAATTTATTTAATAAAATTTTTTTTAAATTATTATTAAAAACTAAAAAACTTATATAAACTACTAAAAATAGTAATAATTTTGAGTGTAAATCTGAGGTCAGCGCACATGGAAGCCCGCTTGGCAAGACCCAAGTAGAGAAGTAGCACAGATTTTTGACAGTACTACGTAAAGGATTATCACTAGGATACCAGAGAACCGAATGGAACCGAAGTGTTTGGCAAGGCACTTCACCAACCAGGCTGCTGGAGAGTAACCGGAGGAAAAGGACCTAATCATGGAGACCAAAAGCAGATCACAGCTTTTCCAGGTCATCTGAATTGGAAGTTTGGGACAACAGGTATACAAGGGATAGTCAGTATAGTAGGTGCTGGGGTCTGGGTGAACTCTATAAGGATGTAGTAGGTAACGGTAGCGGCTTCGGCTCGCAAGTACTTGGTCTCGGCCTAGGTGTAAGTTACCGAAGTAGACTAAGTAATATGGTAATAGTGAGTACCGGACTGCTCTAGCAGGTGATGCTCTTGAGGATAAATCAGTTAACCATGCCAGTAGTCCTATAGGTGGCATGCAACGATCCTGAAACTTGGACTGACTTATATATCGCATATTCCGGGTAAGATTAGATGAATTGGCATAGGAAACTCAGATCAGAGGGTTTAATTAGGTAACTCAAATAATAGTAGGTTATAGGTACGACATCTAGTATAGAACCTAGCAATAGATAGATACTTAATTAGGTGCTCAAAAGGCGCAGGTATGGCTAGAATATATCCTCGTCAGAATGTACTTGTTTGGGGCCTTCTTGAAGAGAGCACCACATGATCCTAATATCTAATAAAAGCAGGAAGCTGAAGAGGCTAATCTTGACTACAAAAAAAAAAAAAGTAATAATTTTTAACTAGCAGCCTATAAATCCTTATAGTAAAAGTAATATTTTTTATAATATAATCAATAATAAACTTATAAATATACTGTAATAAGTTTTAAATATTTTTTATATAATTAAATTTTAAATTTACAAATTTTATTAAAAAATTTTTAAAAAAATTAATATTAGTAATGTATTACTGTATATATAGTATACTAAAAGTTACATAAAAAAATTTAACTAATCTACAGTCTAACCTCCCTATAATCACATCCTTAGAATAAAGATTTGTATAATTATAAAGAGAATTTTACTAAAATGTGCTTATAAAGAAATTTTTTTCTATATGTTTATAATAGTTGATTTTAAAATAAATATGCTTATAAAGAGAATTTTTATATGATGTGCTTATATAGAGGATGACTATAGGGAGGTTTGACTATATACTATGATATTTATTAGATTTTTGTATAAAAAATTATTTGGATATATAATTTTTTAGATTTTTAAACTATTTTTCTAACTGTACTACTGGTAGTACAAAAGACGAAATCCTATCTATTAAATATCAAAATTTTGGTATATAATTTTAAAATAGTACTTTTTATTTTTAACTTTAATAAAAAAATAATAAAATTATCAAATAAAGGCAGAAATATCAAACTAATATACATGTACAAGTTATTCTTATTATAATAAAATTTTTGTTATAGTAAATCTCTTGTTATAGTGAAGAATAATTTATATGAAATCTTTTTCGATATAGTAAATTTACTAATAGTATCGATATATAAAAAAAAATTTATAGCCTAGTTACTTTATTATACCAAAAGTGACTTGTATATTTATACCGTAGTGATTTAATATAATTTTATATGCTAAACAAGTTTACTTAAAGTACTAATCATTATTCATTAATAAAATCTTGAGTTACATAGTATTTTTAATTATTTTACTAATAGAATATACTGTAATTAATAAGTTATTTAAAATCGGTAATTCAAATTAATATACGTAAAAATAAATAATTTTTATTAATACAGTATTATTAAAGTTTCGAATAAGATTTGTAATTATAACAATCGTAAAACTTTAAAAAAATTTTATAAATGAATAATCAGTTTTAGCAATTTTACTACTATTATTATCATGAAAACGAACTTTAAACTTTTTATTAAATACTTAAATATTTTTTTATGTATATATTAAAAAAATTGTTAACTATATATATGCTAATATTATACAGTCAAATTGCGACCTCTTTAAATGCACGTTTCAGAGCTGGTTCAATAGATGTATCTAGAAAGCTTTAACCATATATAAACAATATAAAATTTTAAATTAATTTAGATTATTAATAGCGATAGCGTAAAAAAAGCCTTTGGAAAAATTAGATTTTAATAAAATCAACAAATACATAATTATATACGTACGTACGTAATATACACCTAATTTTATTGGCTTTTTCAATATAGAATTATAGTAATATACTGTATATAGAATCTTCGCTAGGAAAATCACCCTTCGACATTTTTCGATCGGGCTAATTTGATAAATTTAAACCAACATACCAGTACTTTTGCATGTAAATCATTTTTGCCCTTATCGTTATTGATTCAAAAGTTCACTCGATAAGCAATAAGGGCCAAATGTAAATAAGAACCGGTATGTTGACCTAAAATTTTCCGACTTAGCCCGATCGGACAATGTCGGATTGTAATTTTCTTAGCAAAGATTCCATATCGATATACGTAGTAATATTTTACTATATATATATCTAATAAAAACGATTTTTGAACTATACGTAGTTCGTTTTTTTAAGCATGTACGTACGTACGTACGTAGAACAGATTTAAACGTGTTTAAATTTTGAGAATTGTGTTACATGGCATCGATTATTAGCGAATAACACATATATACGTATGTACATACGTATGTACTGTACGTACGCACGAAATTCGTAAATAAATCCCATAAAAATTTAAAGATGGGAACTCGATTCTTTTTTTGGTAAGTTTAAAATTATTTATTATTAATTACAAGGATAAAATAAAATAGACCAAATGTCTAGTTTAAACATACACAGCGTAATATGCAAATTTATTAATTATTGATCAGAGCTGTTCCATTCGCATCCGAAATTTTACAATCTCTGATTGCATTTTGAAAAGAAATAACAAATTATAAATAACAAAATATACTTGTTCCAGACTCATCTTTCGAAAAAAAAAATATATATATTATTTATATTTTATAAAAACCTTACAATTACTTTTCAATTAGCTTGCCGCCAAGAAATAATAATAATAATAATAATAATAATAATAATAATAATAATATATAATATAATATATAATATAATATAATTAATAATTACAAATTTATTATACAACACTAATATTATTAAAGTATTGATGATATTGTTAGTATTACAGAATTTATTAATTAATATAGGCCACACTTTTGTCTAATAGTACAGTACGTTTCGTCTCACATGACTGCTTTTCTTGCTTGATGTTTAATTTGTGGTTATTTGTTGATTAATCATCAATTGTATAGTGATCAAACATTGATCAACTGATCCAGCCAATCATCGGACAGCTAAGCCATGTTAACATCAAATGTGGTTGAACTCCTTATTCCCAATTTTTCAATAAAAAAAAAAAAAAGAAAAAAAAAAAAAAAAAACTAAAAATTCACAGCTTTTGACTATCTTAAATTTGTATCTCTTTATTCATTCATCTTAGTACATTGTTATTTCAGATTTATATAATATCCGACTTCTTCTCTTATATCACAAGTCATGTCTAGAATGGATGAAGCACTTACTAAACCAAGAAATGTCACTCATACCTTGTATAAGCTTTATAACTGGTTGCAAATGGGTATGATTGACCTCAATCCCGAATTCCAAAGAGGTACCTTTTACTATTTTTCCAGAGCAATAGAAAATATTTTACAGAAAAAAATAATACATACATGGCCGCAAAAGCATTTGTTTAACATATATTCACGTGGCGCAGCGCGGCTTAGTGGAAATATATAAGAAATCTCTCTAGAAAGTTTCCTTTGGAGGTTACATTTCTTCTGGCATACTCATTGACTTCCTGTCTATTTCATATAATGTTTTTTTTTTATGGTAATTTCGTTCCGACGTTATAGATGTTGTTTGGACAGGTAAACCAATTTATTCAATTATTTCCTCATTCTTTATGGTCAGCGAACTCATTTTTTTTACATTCACTTATTATGGTTTAAATTTATAATTAGGCATGAAACAATCGCATTTAGTAGATTCTGTTCTTAACAATTTTTATATTCCTCCTGTCATTTTTTCGTGCAAGAAGTTGGATAGTAAACGATGGATGCGCGTATGCATTGATGGAAAACAGCGGCTTACTGCAATCAGAAAGTAAGTCGGGAATTTAGAATCATTCTATTTATTAAATCTGAACGTCTTCTTTAAATAGTATATGATTGGGTGTGCGATGTCCATCTGCGGTACATTTCGTGCGACCGGGATTTCTATAACGTTGCGCTAATCAACTTCGATAAACTTAGGTTCATGGATAATGAAATCCCTCATCTTAGTCCTTCAGATGGTAATATTTCCAAACGATATTATAAAAGTATTAATGGTTCGAAACGTTCCTTAACTGAAGCCGAGAGGGAACTTTTTGATTGTAGTGAACTTTTGTGTGGTAAATATCTGTTTTCTTGTTTTTATTATATTTAATAATATGTTACTAATTATTCTTTAGTTGAATATTATGATCTTACCTTGCATCAAGAGCAAGAAATCTTTAGTCGTGTGCAACTTGGCGTAGCCTTAACGCCAGCTGAGAAACTCCAAGCTATTAGTAGTCCGATGGCTGACTTTGCGCATACAATTTACACTCAACATCCTTCCATATCTGCTATAATGGATACAAAACGTGCTCGACCTTTTCAATTGATTACTCAATCTTTACACATGATTGAAATGGAACCAGAAAAATTTAATGCTACTCCAGCAACCATTACCAAATTTTTGAAGGAAGATCGTGAAGTTCCGGAATCCCTTCGAACGTTAGCAAATCAAGTTTATCGGACGATAGAAGAGATGATTGAAGATGATACCGAGCTTTTCCATCGTGATAACAAATTAGCTCCCGTAGAATTTGTCTTTCTAACATACTTAATTTCAAAGTATCCTGGTCTTCCGATCTTCCAATATCAGAATCGTCTTTTGGCGATGAAGAAACATGTCCGCGCAAAACATGATGATATCAGATTCAATAACAAGGTGTACGATACGTTGAAAAAGTTTATTGATAACATGGAGTTCGAGTACGTACCTGCAACTCATCAATCTAGTAATTCTTCTTACTCTTCTCCTGTTCAAGCATCATCATTTGACACTCAAACTTCGTCTGCGAACCCTCGTGTTGGTAGGAAGAGGGTAAAGCATAATCCTGCTGAATAAAGATGAATCCATAGATTCGGTTGTTTATATCATTTTAAAAATTCTTTTTTTTTTTTTTATTTAGCTGGGCTGCTGTTTTTATAAAAAATATTTTAATGGATGATGGTTTAAAGTTGTTGTTATCTTTTTTTCTTCTTTTTTTTTTTTTTTTTATTATTTTATTTTTTATTTCTCTTTGATGGGCGTTACTGTGAATAAAAAAAATGCTTTTGCTTGTTGTGGTAACATTCTTATAGATATAAATTCACCTTTGATAATATTTTTTTCATGTCAAGTAAATATTTTATATCTACATATTTTCCTATTAAAATATCTAAGGGTTTTTAATCTTTGTCTTTTTTCAAGTAATTTGTTAAATAAAATTTACGAATTTACGAATTTTGTTTTTACTATAAAATACTACACACAAATTTCCAATTTAAATATTAGTACTGTTAATTAATAACATTAATTTTTTTTTTTTTACAGATCTGAATCCTGATTGGTCCGATAATTCGTGCATATACTGTATTTAATGATGCAATCTCCATAAGTATCTCTATAAGTTCTTTTATTTTTTTATCGTTTATAAAGAAATGGTGTCCTTTAGTTGTGACCAGTGCGCTGACGTTATCAAGAAACCTAAACTTGATCAGCACCGTATAAAGTGTCCTGTTACCACGTTTACTTGCATCGATTGCTCTAAAACGTTTGTAGGAACTAGTTATAGGTCTCACACGAGTTGCATTAGTGAGACAGAAAAATATCAAAAGGGAACGTTTAAGGACAAGAAAGTAAATGCATTTATAATTATGCAATTAACATTTTGTTATTATTACATATCTCAATATTTTTGTTTCTTGGCTATTAATTTAGAAACATGATCAGGATAAGCCAAAGTTATCCCAAGAAAAAGAAAAAAACCTCTCAGAAGAACAGCAAAAGCCCAAAAATAAAAAGAAACGTAAAAAAGGATCAGATATATTGACGAGAAAGCGCAAAACTAACAAAATAATCAAGGGACAAAATCGTAATAGTAATTAGAAAAAACGTCTCGTTTTTTAATTTATAAAATCCTTGTAATACCGTATTATCTATTTAATAAAAATATTTTTGCTATTAATATATTGTTCAAAATATTATTAAACAAATATCTTATTTTAACTTGGATTTTTTTAAATAAATTTGGATAGTTTATTCAGGATATACTGTATATATTTAAATTAGATATTAAAAAAAAAAAATCAAATTTTTTAAAGATTTTTTTGAGCTTAACCAATTTAAAAATATAGTGGTCCCTCATTAATATCAACTCATTTGTCCAGGTAATTTGGACTAAATTAAAAATATAGTGGTTCCTCATTAATATCAACTCATTTGTCCAGGTAATTTGGTTGATATATATAGGGGTGGATAATATAGAAATAATTATTTATATAGTCCGAATTCGATTGTTTTTTACTAAGTAACCTACCTTTTGGCTTCTAATAAAAGTTGTAGAAAACATTTTTACGATTCTAATGATGGTAAGATCATTAAACTTGGCCCAGTAGATCACGAGATATATCCAGTTTACGTTCAAAGAAATTTTATATATATCCCGTGGAATCCACCAGGGCGGCCACGAATTTTACGGGTCATGTGATAATCGACAAAGCAACATAAAATTCATTGGGGAAAAAGTTTTTAGTAACTTTTTTTTAAATTTTAAATTAAAATATCTTAATAACTACTAAATTAAATCTAATAA